GAGCAACAGAACAATAACATAGTGTTGTGTGAAAGAGAAACTGAGATTTCTCTCGAATTTATGGCCATTGCTTAATATTGTAATGCAGTTTAGACTTCCTCAAACTTCAATAATATTTTCCTCATTTTTTTTTACGTTTTCATCTCTGTTTATTATCTTTATATTTGTTTTTATTATCAAAACTCATCTTTCTCTGGCACGCCTTAATGTCCCGTCTCTCTTTGTCTCGTTTTAGAATTGTTCGTCATTTTCCTGAAGGTTTCGTTCATCCCGGGTTCTAGATTTATTTCACTCCTTCTTTCTGCCTATCCACTCTTTCCTCTTTTACTCTTACAGATAATCTTATAATTATTTCTTACCATGTTATCGCTTCCTTCGTTCTACGTGTCTTGATGTTGTTCCATATATCTTAACTCCATTCTTCTATACACGTTTTTGGCAGCTTCCAGTGCAGTAGTGTTGATATGACTCCATAATCATTCTACTTCAAGTAACTTTTATTGGATACTATTAAATTTCCTTCATTTTTTAACACTTTTATGCCATTGGTTCTATCGTCTACTGTATATAACTTGAACTCTTATTCTGTCTAAGTTCATGGGATCAGTTAAGTCTCCATCCTAACCTAACCTAACCTGGTGTTCATCAGTCAATACAAACTCTCATGATTATACGTTTTTGGGGAGCCAGAAATCCATCAATTGTTTTTCTCGCTGAACGGGATTCACTGATTGTAACATATATGTTTGTTTATGCGCTCAGTGACAGTTGTACACTCGCAACAAAAAGTATCTGTGCATACTGTGGTGTGAACAATTTGAGACCAGTGACCATAGGTATTGGGAAAGGCGAGTTGTTCCAGCCGTATGTTGGCAGCCCTGATTGTCAGCCATATGGCAACACCTAGTAGAGGGGGGGGGGGTATGAGGATACACGTACCAACCTTCCCGACATATCACAGTGTATACCTATTGTTTCGGAACTCGTCGATCTCACCCTGCACCGATACATTTTGGTGCGAGTGTACACGCACACACACACATAAGCACGTAAGAATGGTGGAAACTGCAGCGGGCCTATTGGCCCATACTGGGCAGTCCCGTTTACACCCAACCCCTATTGCTCATATAAGCATCCAACCTATGTTTGAAGCTATCCAGCGTATTCGTATTCGAGTTAATGATGATATTTGGTAACTTGTTCCATTCATCCACTTCTCTGTTTCCAAACCAGTGTTTACCTATTTCGCCCCTAAATCAAAATTTGTCTAATTTAAAACCATTGTTACGAGTTCGCTCTTGGTTGGATAGTTTGAGTTCCTTTGTAATGTCCCCTCTCTTTAGCCCTGACTTCCATTTATGCACCTCTATCAGGTCGCCCCTCGCTCTACGTCTCTCGAGGGAGTGCAAATTAAGATGCTTTAACCTGTCTCTGTACTCAAGGTTCCTAATGCCCGGGATTAGTCTTGTCATTCTCCTCTGAATTCTTTCCAATGATTCTATATCCATTCTGTAATACGGTGACCAGAACTGAACTGCGTAATCCAGGTGTGGTCTCACAAGGGCAAGATACAGGTTTAGGATGACCTCGCTAGTCTTGTAACTAACACTCCTTTGTATGAACCCAAGTACTTTATTAGCCTTGTTACGAGCAAAACCACATTGTTTACTTGGCTTAAGGTTCCTACTTATCATTACTCTTAAATCTCTCTCGCAGTCGGATTTCTCAATGGCATCTTTGTTCATCTGGTAACTGGTTTCCCTGTTTACATCTCCTATACTGAGTACTTTACATTTGTCCACGTTGAATTTCATTTGCCATTTTTCAGACCATTCAAAAAATTTGTTTACATCTTCCTGTAGTTTTGCGGAGTCCTCGTCAGATTTAATAACACATCCTGTTTTAGTGTCATCAGAAAATTTACTTATGTTGCTGTCTATGCCGATATCTATGTCGTTTATGTATATAATAAATAATAATGGTCCAAGTACTGAGCCTTGGGGAACTCCACTAGTGAGTTGCTCCAATGGGATTTAGTGCCCTTAATGCTCACTCACTGTTTCCTGTCCTGTAACCACGCCCTAATCCATTTAAAGATATTACCTTTGATGCCATGTGCGTCTACCTTTCTAATTAGTCTTTTGTGGGGGACTCTGTCGAAGGCTTTGCTAAAGTCGAGATATACCACATCATAATTGTGCCCCTCGTCCACCTATTCGAAAACTGATGAAAAGAATGTTAATAGATTAGTTAGACATGAACGCCTGCTTGTGAAGCCATGCTGGGAATCATTGATCAATCAGTGCTTCTCCAGGTGATTTCGAATAGAGTTTGAAATGATTGCTTCCAGTAATTTGCCTATTATTGATGTTAGACTGATTGGGCGGTAGTTAGAGGATAGTGATCTATTCCCCTTCTTGAAAATCGGTATTACATTCGCTAACCTCCAGGATTCTGGTACTACAGTACACCTGTTTTTAAGGACATGTTAAACAACTTTGCGAAGGGCATACTAAGCCCTTCCTTACATTCCTTTAATACTCTGGCAAATATCTCATCGGGACCAGGTGACTTATTAGGCTTTAGTTTGTATGTTTGCTTACTAACATCGTTACTAGTCACTACTATCTCGCTTAATTTGTTTTCTTCACTATCTCTGAATAGAGTCGGTGCCTCGGGTATCATGTTTAAATTTTCGGTGGTGAAAACTGTTGAAAAATATTTATTCAAATTTTTGCTCATTTCTCCGTCGTTATCAGTTAGATCGCCGGTATCTGACCGTATTGGTCCAATCTTTTCTCGTGTTTTAGTTTGATACATTTGGTAGAATCCTTTCGGGTTTGTCTTCGCCTCCCTTGCTATCCTTACCTCATTATTCCTCTTAGCTTTCCTTTTCTCGGTTTTAACCCTACTCGCCAATACCTTATAATAATCCCGGAGGTAAATTTTGCCACGATTTATTCTTCTACCTATAGCCTTCCTTTTGCCAATGATGTTCTTTAAATAATTATTTATCCATTTAGGGTCATTGTTGTCTGATCAGAGTTTTTTGTATGGTATGGTTTGCCTTTGTGCATTAAGTAACTCATTATTTAAATTGTCGTGGAACTCGGCAATCTCAGATCTCGTCATCAGGTCAGTCTCAACCGTCAGATCTCCTGGTATGGTGAGGTCGCCCTCTGTGGGTGCATTGAGTGAGGCCACCTCATGCTAGGTCATGTAGCTCACCCCCAAGTGCGACACCCCCTCCCTCAGCTGCCTCTTCAAACTGTCAAAGTTTGCCCTTCTGAAATCTGGTACTTTAGTGGAATTTTCCTTACGTCTGCCCTGAAAATCTAACTGGAATCTAATTTCTTTGTGATCGCTGTTTGCAAGTTCGTTCCCTACCTCGACATTGCTAATGAGGTTTTCTCTGTTCGACAGAACTAAATAGAGTATATTATTACCCCGGGTGGGTTCGGTTATATGTTGACTTAGGAAACAGTCTTGGATCGTTTCGAGAAAATCCTCTGATTCTGAGTTACCCGAAAGGTCAGTCCAATCTATTTGGCCAAGGTTAAAGTCGCCTACTATACAGACTTTGTTGTGTATGGAAGCCCTGTGCATTTCATCCCAGATAAGTCGCTCATTAACTCTATCAAGAATGGGAGGTCTATATAATACTCCTGTGATTAATTTTTCCCTACCGTCGATTAATTCTCTCCAAATTGTTTCTGTATTCCGCTCAGTTTTTATTTCCTTATTTATTTCACACTTCAGATTATCCATGACATAGATTGCTACTCCGCCTCCTTTCCTGGACGGCCTATCGGTATGGAACAATTTGTAACCCTCAATTTGGTATTCGACCGGTAACTCACGTGAGTCTAGGTTGATCTTTGTTTCAGTGAATGCTATTATGTCGATTTTGTCGATACATACCAAGGCCTTGATATCATCCATTTTGTTTCTCATACTTCTACTGTTCGTGTAGTAGACATTTAAGTTAGTCGTGTTCTGAGTCCTTCCTTTACCGCGTTTAGGTTTAAACTCCCTGTCTAATTTAGTTTTGTCATCATTCCTAACACTATTTCCCTGTAATCTTTCACTTTGTTTACCCGCTCCCACTGCAGTCTCCTCCACCCCTGTGCCCATATGTCTCCCTAGCATTTTAAAGACTTCGATATCTTTTGAACTGCCCTTCTAGAGACCCAGCCAGGGTTGTCACCCCATACCTAGACAGGTGTACCCCATCCGTAGCATAAAGGCCCCTTCTGCCTTAGAAGTTGTCCCAGTTGTCAATGAATGGGACTGATATTGACTTGCAATATCCATCAAGACGGCCGTTGACGCCAACTGCCCTTGACAACCATTCATTGCTAACTATCCTTCTAGGCAGGACACCACATATGATAGGGATCGTATAGCGGCATAGCCAAACAATTGTGCATTTTATGATGAAAACATTAACTTTGGCACAGATATGGAGTAATACATAGTGAATATTTTCAGATATGGAACTACTAGAAACTCAACCTCTGTGGGCGCCATATTGAATTTCAAGATGGCCCCCGTTCAGGATACGCTAAACTATGTATTTCTGTTTTTACTGTTGCATATTTCATTCCATTGCCTCAATATACATAATCCGGGTTACGAAAATCATTTGTGATAGTTTTCGAAGTTTATTACATTGAAAAAGACAAGTAAAAGCATTACACTGGAAAATTAACATACAAATTTTCCGAACTCCCAAAACTTAAATAAAAATTCTGAACATTCGGCTATTGAGGCCGAATTTCTGTAGATATTTGACCTTAACAGCCACCTTCACATGCACAAAGTCCAGTTCATTTAAGTGCAGCTTTTTTGCACCTACACTTGCCACCTCAGTGTTTTCTGCAACCGCAAGAGATGAGCTCGTGGCATGACTTTGACACTTCAGAGAGTGTGGTCCAGAGTGGTTCCAGCTCATCACCCGACTTCATCCAACCCCAGTCACATGGTGATGGCAGACTGACAAACGCTATTGCTGCCTGTCCCCAGATATGTCCAGCCTGATAAGCAGCTCTTTTTATGTGCTGCTCCAGAGCTGCTCGTGTTGGTGGGAGATGCTCCAGTGATCTTGATTTCCTTGAAAACAGTTTCTTTCTCAGCACGTTCACGTCACAGGATGTGCTTGTATGGTCATAGAGCAGCACGATGAATCTCTCCAGTGTCGACAGGACACCAACAGGCAGCTCACTTGAGGTGGAAGCCAGACTGAGGAAGGCGGTTGTCACTTCCGGAAATGCATTCCATGTGGCCCAGGCTGCCTTCTTGCTATGACCTGCAAAGGCAGATACCGTGTCGCAGCCAATTATTGCGTGAAACACTGGACTTCTCAGGTCCCAGGGCCTTTGCAATCTGATGTGCTGCTATGTAACGTCGATTCTTTCCTTTGCCAAAAGTACGCTATAGTTCATCTAGTGCCTCACTCCATTCATCCGCTAGAGCAATTGCAAGGATGACAACATCTGTATCGACGGTACGAATGAGTATTTGCCGGTGACCACATTCCAAGGCATCAGCTGCATGAACCATCATCCTAGTGTCGGCCTCTTCGTGGTTGCATGGTGCCAAGTTGGCAGTGTCCTTCTGGGGTGGAACAGTGAGTACCTGTTTCTTGTCTGCGACAACCAGCTGTTTACTTTCTATGACAACCAACTGCATAACCTGTTCTGACAGGAAACTGAAGAGATCCTCTTTGTTGTCAGTGTTGCGATGAAAGTTTTGCCAGTTGCTAGGTAGAGGACCAGAGGCAGTGACGTGTCTTCGAATGCCCTTGCCAAGGTTACATCTTACTGTTGCTTTTAGGCTCCCAGATTTCAGGTAGCAATCCCATACCAGGTCAAGTCGAGATCGATATTCGAGCTGTGATTCATTATAGGGAATGAACACAGCTGTGTTGTATTCTTGAAATGTCCGACTGCCTCCTGGCTTCAACATTTCCACAACGGCAGGTCCATCGAGTATAATTGAGGTGACATGTGGAGCGTCAGTGATCTTGTCAGCAAGCTGTTCAAGGGGTGTGAGTACGTCGGCCTTCTTGCTGAAGCGGAGTTTCCCATTACTGGAGAGTGCTGGTGGATAGGCCCGGTTTTCATGCTTGAAGAATTCGTCCAAATCACCCTCTCTTGTTTGACAGGCTATGTAGAGCCTGGAGAAGAGTCCACAGTCGCCTTTTGCGAAGGCTAGTTGCTGCTTACTCCTAGTTGGAGACTTGGATTTCATAGAATTGAATAGTGTTAGCTAGTTGAGCTTAATAGTGTCACCAATAGGCTTAGACTTGTCTTTAAGGCGTTCTCTTACATATGAATGGAATTGTTCTTGTCCAAGCTTGACAACATTTTGCACACTCTTCACGGCTTCTGGACACAAGATTCCTTTCTATGAAGAACCATTAGGTCAGCACTTTCTTCTTCAAATGGGTTTCCCATTTCTTTCATGACAAGTGTAAGTGCTTTCACACCCTGAAGAAACTTGTCCTGCGTCGTGTTGGTTTGCTCATGATGGTGGAAGTTAGCCTTGGTTTGCTCAGCTTTCTGCGATGATTCAAATTCAGCAATGACCCGTGCTATTTCTGGGCCATCCACTGTCGAAGTGCACAAGGGTTTCCAGTCAAACCGACTGCACCACCATCACCTTTGATGCAGGCATTGTTCTGCTCATGGGCCTGGTCTAGTGCCATTGCAGAAAAACGGCGGGCTGTCTTTTTTGTAGTGAAATGTCCAGCTTGAAACTTTGCAGCCACGTCAGGATGCTTGTCCGAGAGCTCTGTCATGTCCTTCAGGTGGACTGGAACCCACCGAGAATAATGAGTATGATCCAAGGCGAAGAACCACTGACACAGTTCAGCCAGAGCATCCATGTATAGCAAGAAGTTTGATTCTCGGAGTGATCTAACAAACATAAAGATACTTAGCTCTAGGTTGAGGGTGGTTGCCCAGTACTGAAACTGGGGACAACATTCAGCCCTTTACTGACACCAGACACCAAACTCTAGGGGCTCATGACCATCACTTTGGGCATCTTCAGTGTATTTGCCATAAGCCTTGTGCTGTAGGAATTTCAGGGTTGCTGCTGTTATCTGATGGCCTCGCCTGGTGCGTGTGACGTGAGCAGCCTTTAGGAAAGAGTTCGCAGTTCCTGGGCTGGCAATATCGGCTTGCACCAGGGTTTCTGCCCACCCGCTACCCTGCAACCAACTGCCTGCCATCCTCAGAGCCGCCATTTCAATGTGGAGACCGCCCAGACTCATAATAAATTTCTCTTCGCCGTAATTTTCAGGTCAATTCCAATGAATCTGATTTATAGCGGCCACTCAAATCCAGTATCGAGTGGTTCCATATCTGAAAATGTTCATATACCATTACCCCATCGCTGTACCAAATTTGGTGCTTTCATCATTAAATGCACAATTGTTATGAAAATTGTAGCTATGCCGCTCCACTATTAGTCCTAATACGATCTATAGCTGTCTCGAACTTATCAAGAAGCTCTTCACTCCTACACCGGCCAATATCATTGCCTCCTGCACTGAGGCAGATAATGGGTTTGTTCCCATTACCAGACAAGATATTGTCCATCCTGTGAACTATATCTCCCACCCCAGCCCCTGGCAAACACACCCTCATCCTATTTTTATTTCTACCACAAAAGGCTCTGTCCATGTACCTTACCTGTGAGTCACCAACAATTAAAGTTTTTATACCTTCCTTGTCAGCCCTGTCCCTGACTGTACTAACGTCAATTACGTCTATCAAGGGACTGAACGAGTTGGTACACATACACACACACTGTCACTATGTTGATATGCCCTGTAGTTTGAGCTTCTCCCCATCTAATTATTATATATCATATTTGTATCACTTATGTTACTTGTATATCATTTGTAAAGCAAGAGACCCATTCCCCAATTATGTAATTGTATATTTTCAGCCTTCCGGCTGCCATGCTCTTTCAATAAACCGTTAATTATTATTATTATTATTATTATTATTATTATTTATTATTGTTCCATTCTTGTTTGCCTATTCCGTCAAATGTTCGTCCATTCTGCCAACTGTTCGTCCATTAACATTTCGTAATATAAATTACGTCTCCCTCTAATAATATAACCCAAATCAGATCTCACTTGATTCACTCGTTACACTAGTCTTGTTTTCACATATCAGCCCCGACAGAATCATTTACACCTCGCGTGATTTGAAGTTCGTGAGATCCGTAATTGATTCTCTTGTGTTTACGCTTTTAAAATGTTCACATAACTTATAAATCTGGCATGACATTATCTGAACAGTACGTAAATTAATGTATCATAAGGAAGATCATGATATATCGTTAACGAAACCTGGAATTAATAAAAGAAAACTCACAAGGGCTTTTAACGATGGTAAAAAAAAACAGAATTTGCCAGTGAACGGTGCCAATAAAAGCTACAATGGTGCTACGAATGTCAGGGTATTGTTTTTTAATGACGGAGAGCCATTACTTAAAGGTGTGTTGAAGCAGTAAAGAAATATTGGATATTTTATGACTGAAGATGGTGGAACTGGATATAGTGAATCGAGGCATAAAGAAGTACACACACACACACACAGAGCGTCAGCGTTACCAAAGGACAGGGTACAGTGACTTATCCATATGTATATTTAATCACCCCCGTGTTAATACATTCGATCAAGAGAGGTGATGAGATGCACAGAGTTGGCAACACTGGACAATGGGTAATCAAGTGGTAAAATTGGCAATCTGTGTTTATGCATAACCAAGAGATTGTTGATGGGTGGGAGAGGGTGTGGGGTGGAGTGAGGAAGGGGTAGGGGGTTGAGGGGGAGGGTGGGGGAGAGGAGGGGTGAGGTGTGAGGGGGTGAGAAGTGGGGGGGGGACTTCGTCTGGTTTATTTGGTGGCTCAGAATTATTCCTGTTATTTATGTTTTGTGATTCGTAATTAGACGGTGATGATGGTGATTATGGTGGTGATGATGGTGACTGTGGTAGTGATGGTGGTGGTGATGATGGTGGTAATGATGGTGTTGATGGTGACTGTGGTAGTGATGGTGATGCTTATGATAGTGGTGGTGATGATGAAAGTGGTGGTGACGATGATGGAGATTATGATGGTAGTGGTGATGGTGATGATGGTGATAGTGGTGGCGACTGTGGTGGTGATGGTGAGGATGATGGAGATTGTGTTGGTGGTGGGAGGAGCAAGGCGTTCATGTCTAACTAATCTATTAACATTCTTTTCATCAGTTTTCGAATGGGTGGACGAGGGGCACAATTATGATGTGGTATATCTCGACTTTAGCAAAGCCTTCGACAGAGACCCCCACGAAAGACTAATTAGGAAGGAAGAAGCACATGGCATCAAAGGTAATATCCTTAAATGGATGAGGGCGTGGTTACAGGGCAGGAAACAGCAAGTGAGTATTAACGCCACTAAATCCCATTGGAGCAACGTCACTAGTGGAGTTCCCCAAGGCTCAGTACTTGGACCATTATTGTTTATTGTATACATAAACGACATAGATATCGGCATAGACAGCAACATAAGTAAATATGCTGATGACACTAAAATAGGAAGTGTTATTAAATCTGACGAGGACTCCGCAAAACTACAGGAAGATCTGAACAAATTTTTTGAATGGTCTGAAAAATGGCAAATGAAATTCAACGTGGACAAATGTAAAGTACTCAGTATAGGAGATGTAAACAGGGAAACCAGTTACCAGATGAACAGAGATGCTATTGAGAAACCTGACTGCGAGAGAGATTTAGGAGCAATGATAAGTAGGAACCTTAAGCCAAGTAAACAATGTGTTTTTGCTCGTAACAAGGCTAATAAAGTACTTGGGTTCATACAAAGGAGTGTTAGTTACAAGACTAGCGAGGTCATCCTAAAACTGTATTTTGCGCTTGTGAGACCACACCTGGATTACGCAGTTCAGTTCTGGTCCCCGTATTACAGAATGGATATAGAATCCTTGGAAAGAATTCAGAGGAGAATGACAAGACTAATCCCGGGTATCAGGAACCTTGAGTACAGAGACAGGTTAAAGCATCTTAATTTGCACTCCCTGGAGAGACGTAGAGCGAGGGGCGACCTGATAGAGGTGTATAAATGGAAGTCAGGGCTAAACAGACGGGACATAACAAAGGTACTCAAACTATCCAGCCAGGAGCGAACTGGTAACAATGGTTTTAAATTAGACAAATTTAGATTTAGGCGCGAAATAGGTAAACACTGGTTTGGAAACATAGTGGATGAATGGAACAAGTTACCAAATATCATCATTAACTCGAATACGCTGGATAGCTTCAAACATAGGTTGGATGCTTATATGAGCAATAGGGGTTGGGTGTAAACGGGACTGCCGAGTATGGGCCAACAGTCCCGCTGCAGTTTCCTCCATTCTTATGTTCTTGTGTTCTTATACCTGGCTGTTATTATGGGCGATATAAGCAACATCTGGTACAAGATATACACTATACTGCCTATAATATATAGACACGTGGGGAGGACTAGATGCTGTATGGGTGTATCATTACCTCCTCCCCCCTCCTCCAACCCCTTCCCCCCTCTCCCTCTCCCCTTCTCCCTCGGTAGATGTTATCGTACACACACCCACACACACACACTCACTATACGCCTCACCTCACTTCATCAATAAACACCCTGGGGGACCTGGTCTTTGATCTACATTTTCTGGCACATCAAATGTTCGTCAACTGTGATTTAAAATGTCTAAATTGGCCGTCATGTTGGTTCCGTTTATCTAATCTGTTAGTAACTGCCGGTCAAGTTACATCACAATGGGGAGGAGAGAAACTAGATGACGGATATGTTGGTCTATGGTGAATGAGGACGATTGGTAATGACTGTAAAAAACATTAATTTGTGTGCGTGTGTGTGTGTGTGTGTGTGTGTGTGTGTGTGTGTGTGTGTGTGTGTGTCAAAGGGTTTTGTACACATTATGGTCTATAATTCATAAGAATAAAACAAAATAATCGGGAAAAATATTTAAATGTGAATTGAATAGAATTTAGACGCAGTCATTCTGGTGTTGGTAATGTTTGAGTAAATCTATTTGGACGCACCTGGAGGATCCTTATGTGCATTAAATAAAGACAAATAACTTTTAAAGAGTATAATTTCTGTAGAGTAATATTAAGTCATTACATACATACATACATACTGCGTCAGATAAGTGAGAAAAGCTCCAGGAATT